GATTCAATTTCATAAAAACATCGATTTTCATTTTTAAAAAATAATAGAATTTGGTGAATTTTTTTTATTTTTGATGCGCCTGATTACTGATATATTGCTTCTAAAATTGATCATTCAATTAATTAGGCTTAAATATTTTTAAATTATTCCAGTCCAAATATATCTTTAAATAATATTTCAAGATAAAATATAGTTCAGAATTTAATTATTTCTATTTATATATGCTTACATATGATAAAAAAGATTAGATCAATCGATTAATCCATTTGAAATTCGTCATTTGTTAAAAAAGAACCATTTATAGGATGATACTCAGATTTATTAAATGACAATCGCTTCCACTGAAATAGAAAATTCAAATTTCTCATTGTATCACTTATCATTTACATAAAGTTTCATTAATGTTTCAAAACGGCATAAAAAATAGCTAGTAATTACTTGATATGGATAATATCTCTGTCACGGAAATATCCATATTACAGGCTTTTCCAACCGTTTTCTTTATCATTATTTCGTGAAAATTTATTTTATATCACATTTGCGTCATCATTTTGCTATTTCCGTATAAAATACAATTGCTCTAATTCGTTTTCATTTTGTAGATTTCAACGATTCAATTACGGAAGGAAAAATTGCTTGAAGGAACCAGCATTTTATTGCTCAAAAAAGGAATAATGTTCAAGTGTTGATTTGAATGAGGAATTTATTGAAAAAATTTCTTGAGTTTCTTCGAGATTTATTTGCTAAATTTTTCAGTGAAAAAAAGAAAGATGTTAGCACATTCTATTGTAATTGAGTTGTAAAATTGCTAACCTTCATTTTCGAGAGATAATATTATATGAAGAGTTAGGCAGTAAGATGTGTACTTACCGAATTTTAAAAAATTGTGTTTTTGCTTTCTTTGACTTATTCATTCAAAAATAAAAATGAACACCAGTCACATCATCTGTTCCCATTTTCCAAATCAACGGAAAATTTTTCTTGAATATTTTTCAAATTATCAGTTCTAATTTTTCAAGACAATTAAATCATTGCTTCTTTTTAAAGATTCTCTTTATTTTAAACATTTTAGATTAAATCATGAAAATTTAATTTCTTACAAGAATTACATTGATTTTGGATGGGGTGTTTTTCAACATGACCTTACTGTCTGCTAGGAACACTGTGAAAGTAATATGTCAAAGGCGAACAGTCTATTTGACCTTAGTTATTTTTTTACATCCATTTTCTGAGTTGTGGGATTATTAGTAGCTGGATCGCTTAGTGTAACTAATGTTCCCACGATGATATTGGGTGGATTTGGTTTAGAGGGATTTATAACACGACTTCCGCAACTTTTCAACTATGTTTGTGATTTCAAGCATTTCACATTTTCCACACTTAGCAAGAATTTCCTGAGTTGTAGGATTTATGTCGCTAATTAACTGGTTTATCACTAAGCACTACTTTTTTTTAGAATGCATAGAAAATTCGCTACAGTGTGAAATATCGGTAATTGGTTGTATGTTACTGAATCATTGAGTTTTTATGACAAACTAATTTGCTCTTTTTTTTTAATTTAGCAGAATTTTGTCCATATATTTAACTGGAAGAAATGGTCATTTTGTTGTGTGAATTCCCGGGATGCAGCAGATGGCGTCGAGAAGAAAGAAATTATTTGCTGTTGCACTTGCTGGTACGAGGGAGAACGTTACAGAGCACAGTATATATCAGTACTTTCTATTTTTGGCTTCTATACCATTTCTTCCATATTCATAATTATTTTCTAGAAAAATTAAATTGAAATCTTACATCATTTAAGTAAAATGAATTTTAATATTTCTGATTCTTTATTCTGTATGCTATCGTTATCCTGTTGTTGGGAGCTCCTAAATTTGCAGTATTTTTTCGAGAGAAGGTTGTGGTAATTTGAATGATGAATAATTTTTATTTTTAGAATTAATGAAAAATCGACAAAGTGTTATTCGACGATACACTAATTTCATTTAAAGTCATAAAAAACTGGTACATTTGATTTGAACTTTCTAAACTTATAACATTTAAGTCTAACAAAAATTTCCGGTAAAATCGATCTGTTTGATTTCAGTCGCTTTTTTATTCCTCTTCCCCCCCGCTTTTTTATTCCTCGTCTCGCCTTTTTTTCAGTGTACCGCTCCCAAATCGTCATCAATTTTTTCCTGTTGATAGTAGCTGGTGGTTAAGGAAGGAGAATTCTTGTCATTCATATAAAACTCGTTAACTTTTCTTTTTTCCTTTCAACTTCTTTCTGCTGTTTCAGGAGGGTGACATTCAAGATTTCTTTTTCTCTTCGGATTATTAAAACTGAGAGACATCGAGAGATAAATTTTTAGTAAAGTTTTCAGACGTCGAGGGGGTAAATTCTGTTGTTTTCTGGCAAAAAATTGTTGTCAACACTAGCCACTAATGATGGTAATAAGCAGATAGCATTTGTTTTCACTAAAGTGATTCTTTTTGCCTTTGTAATCTCCTTAAATTAAAAATTCAAATGAAGTTTTCAGTAGCTTTTTGCATATTTTATTTACTCCATCCATTTATGGGAATAATGTTTACATTATTTTGATGTATTTTTGACTGTCATAATACTGTGTGGGAAAAATCTTCGAAGCTTTTGAAAAAAACTAGTAATGTGATATAATGAAATTCAAGAAAGTCTTACCACTTAATACTGCGTGCATCATACCAAATTAATGGAGAAGAATTCTCAAGGTGACGATGATTAATTTTTTCGACTATGATTAAAATTTAAATTCTCACTAACATTCGCTTTTTCTCTTTTTTCATTAAAAGTGGTTAGAGGCTCCAGAATAAATGAAACTCATTTATTACCTATTTTAGGAGCTATTTTTGCTTCAGTTTACTTTAAAGTACATACTTAAAACTTTTCACTTCCTTTTTCCAATGTCGATTTGCTTTACCATAGTTTGATTCTGTGATAGTAAATTTATTCTTCTGCACTTTTAGCTGAAATAGTTTGATTGATTAGAGTGAAGAAAAAGAGAAGAAACAATTGAATATGAGAGATGAAAGGATAGACAAAACGAAAGAGATGTGTAACAACACTGGACCCCCAGTTGACCTTGACTTCATTGAGCTTCACGTTTCTCTTTATTTTTCTCTTTTCTTGTATCAACTTTGATGAATGCATCCAAAGTTCGACTTTCATAATATTGCTTCTGATCATCAATAAAACAAAACCTTCAAAACTTGCAGTTTTTAATCGTACCATCACATTTATTTGCGTGTGAAGAATAAACATGTAAACAAATGGGGCAAACTGAGTAAATAATAAAATAGCATATACGCCCTTATTGATATAATAAACTCTATTGTTTCAATTATTAAAGTGCGCTGCTTATTCATGTATTGTTTGTTCGGCATTCTTTTTTTCGGATATAATTTTGATTAAGAATTAAAATTGCTAGCATTTAATTTGACTAAAATGACGGGTAAAGCGTCGTGTGGATTGAAAATGACGAAATAACAGATGAATAAGCTGTTATTTTATGTACTTTTTCAGACAGCGATAAACGAAATTATAAATTCGCAAGTGCTCATTAATGATATGTGCATATAGACAATGGAAAACGTATGTTTGTTTCTTTTGCTAATTATTTAGCATTAATTAATAAAATTTTATTAGTAATGAGAAGAAAATTTTACAAATTAGACAGGTACTAATGTAACTTTCTCTGAAAGTGATGATGGAAGCATTGATCAGTCATTTGAAAATATGAAGATTAGGCGATTTTAATAGACAATAAATAATAAATGATAGTTTTAACACCATGCAGTTAATAGAGTACTGAACTGAATGCATAAGCTAGATAGATTCTTTAAATAGCATTAACATAATCAGTTGATTACTTTATCGATCATTCGTACCAGTTATTCATTTACGTTGATAAGTTGATTGCTTAGGTCGGGCTTATAGTGAGAGATGTCAATTTCTTTTTTCAAAAGATTGTAATATTTTTGTTTTTTAAAAATAGAAATGACCATCTTAAAAATTTTTGAATATTTTAAAATGAAGCAAATTCCATCACAGCCTCCGCCTTTTTTCCTTAAATTTTGCACACCAACAACTAAATAATCCTTTATCTCACTTATGCTTTTTTCTTACTTTCATCTTACATCGTCTTATTTTTGTAATAAAAAGATTTTTTTTTTAATTCAGCTAATGATTTAGTCATTATGATATAATCTTTATGCTTATATTGCATTCCTCATTACCTACTCTGAGGTATATTGCTAGCTTGAATTAAGTGGTGAAGTGTTAAATGCATGGGAAACAAAAAGATGTATTGGGGCCATTTATTGGTCATAATTTTAGGCCTTGAAAGAGAAAGAAAATGAAGCTAATTTCGTTTGAAATATCGTTTCACAGATAGCGATAAAAAGATAATTAAGGAGTGATTGTTTTTGGTAGGAAAATATAGTCTTCTAAACTCTACGGGAATAAATGGCAGCATTTACATCGCTTTTATGCTCGTTGCATTTGCACTGCACTTTAATTCTGTGAAGTATATTTTCAGAGTTATAACCAACTGTAATTGATTTTCTTCTTTCTCTACGAAATAACGCGCTATGCACTTTTAACATAAAATATAAATTAAAATTTATCCATCAAAATATAATTGGTAGGAGATTATATTGATATGTATTACGAAAATATGAATTCCTTTCATCATGCCATAAAAATAGAAACAGTTTGTTGCTTCTCGTAGTATTCATATATATTATTGTACTAATAATAGGTGTGCGGTAAAATATACGTTTATGTTTTTGAAACAAATGAAATACAATAAATTATAGTGCAGTTGCAAAATGATTCTATCACACAATGTAGGGAAATTCTTTTTTGATGATTGCTTCAACATAAAGCTTTTTTTCGCCCTGTCAAACAGGTGAGTCAACGTGAAATTAATTGTAAAAGCACGAAAGGAGCAAGGCGATGTTAAATTAAAATTGCAGTTTTAAATATGTTGAATCACGAAGTGATGAAATATTTTTGCAAAGTTTACACGAGTCAGATCTACCAGCTTTTTGCATCATTATTGTTATATAATGTGGAGAGATGTTTAACTTCCAAGCAGTAAAATATACAAAAAAATCAATCTGACTTTCTATCAGATGGATTTTAATTACAAAATTGACTGCATTACCTAAGCTTATATTATTCCCCTGCAGAAGAACCAAATGATTTATTTTAATCGTGATAATAATAATTATTATTATTGGTAATTATGATATTAACAAGCAAGTGTTTTTTTTCATCGTCTTTAGTAATATTTTAGTTTTATTTTCTATTCTTTAATATTGGCTCTGTTGGTATTTTACAGGGGCACCTACCCTCAACAAACGCGCCAATCTCACCGCATGCGCAATCAGAGACATCAAACGCCCCCACAACAAATGGTAAGCCTAATTACTTACATGATGTTGTTAACTTACCTAACTTACCGCGCTATTGCTGCTGTCTCTTTTGCTATTACTACTGCTATTACTGTTACTACCATCACAAAAACCTCTAATTGTTGCGCATACATTATCTGCACTGACGATTTGTCATTACAGTAATTACTAATCTCTTTCTTTCTGATTTTAATTAGTGTATTAGTCGAAATTTCCAATTTATTACAAAAATTTATGAAATTTTGAGAAAAAAATTAGAATGCAGTTCGTTACTAGGTTGTAATAGAAGGAGAAGGAAAAGAGGAGGCAAATAGTAAGAAGAAAAATGATACAATTGTAGTGAAATAAGAAACAAAGTCTGATCCCTTTTTTGAGTTCTGTAGGTGAATCCCCGTGAGAATCTATGCGTGAAATAGCGTATTGAAAACATAATCTTCGTGACCAATTACAGTAAGCAAAGTGCTTTGTTGTTTTAATGAGACTTTTTTTTTACATATACAAATTTAATGAAAAATTTGAATATTTGGCACTCAAACAGAATCATCTAAAGTTATATGTTTGCCATATAAGTCGATATTTGATGTGATAGTAAATCGAAAACATGCTTCAAATAATCCATTATATCTGATATTTGATATCTGTTCGGATATCTGATCGTAGTTGATCAGTATTTTATTTACCTCATATGTCCATAGACACTTTCGTGTTTTTAAACTATAAAACATGCGTTTATTATGAACGTATTTTCTCTGGAAAAAGGTCGCAGACAACTTTAAGTTTTAAATTTAATTATCATTTGAATTCAGGAAAGGTGAGTGGCGGTAATAAAACGCAATATACATATGAATATTTGGCTCAGTTGCTGAAGGATAAAAAACAGCTGGAAGCTTTTCCAAATGTTTTCCATCATCTCGATCGTCTCGCTGAAGAAGGTTTCTCTCTTATTGTATTTAGAAAATGTAATTATATAATGCTTATAACACTTAACCTTTGTAACTAAACAATTGAGCTATTTCGAACCTTTCATATACTTTTTCTAAACCAGTGGAAATTTTTTATGCTCTGCTAAAAATTATCCTACTGAAAATTTCGATTTGAAATTAACCAAAATTTTTTTCTCCATAATTCAGCATTTGAATTATTAATTTTGTGCAGAAATCAGCAGAGTGCGAGTATCATTATTTCAATTCGAGTTTGCCAAAGATGCAATGTCAAATTTACCAGAACCGGAGGGTGAAGTTACCACTATGACTGAAAAAATATTTGTTCCTGTAAAGGAACATCCGGATGTAAGCGCTGTTTTGACTTATAAAAATAATTAGATATAATTCAGCTGTTTTCCTTGATTGATTTTTATGTGTGTATTTCTTGAATATTATTTAATTGTTGAAGTTTTCGTTATAGCATGGGTAATCCAAGTATCATCTTTAATTATTTATGTAGTAAAATAACCATTTGAGTTGAGTTTAAGTTCAGTTAATATAAATGGTAATTAATTAAAGACAATCCTCTACTTGCTTGCCATTCACTGTGTTTGACTTTCAGCCACTAGCAGAAAAAACATCACATTGAATTATCTATTGTAATTGATTAAAGATTGAATTATAATGGGATATATTAGTGGAATGTTCTTGTCGTGAAATTGAATTATAATGGGATATATTAGTGGAATGTTCTTGGGGTATAATTACCTTGAATTCTTACATAATTTGCAATGACATTAAAAATGGTGTTTCTTTAAAGCAAGTTGCTTTGGCAAAATTATCAAAGTCATTTTAAGTTAACTGTCAAAAGTTAATGTTTTGGTTAATTATAAATTTTTTTCAGTATAATTTTGTCGGAAGGATATTGGGCCCACGTGGTATGACGGCCAAACAGTTAGAACAAGAAACTGGATGTAAAATAATGGTCCGCGGCAAGGGTTCGATGCGCGATAAAGCTAAGGTTTTAAGCATTTTTTCATTATCTCTTAAGTTAATAATTTGATGTTTCAACTCCTAAAATTTTATGGAATTCGTATTTATTTATGCGTAAATTTCAAGAATCCTGATTTGTAGGAGGAAGCAAACCGTGGAAAACCCAACTGGGAACATTTATCAGAAGAGTTACATGTTCTGATACAATGCGAAGATACACCCAATCGTGCATTGTTAAAACTGAAACGAGCTGCAGCTGAAGTAAAAAAGTTACTTGTACCTTCAGTAAGTTCATTTTTTTTGGAAATCATGCATGCTATCTTTCGCATAATGTGAAAGTATGGCTTAAATTGTTGGTGTTACCAAATTACAATATGGGAATGATACTATTGTCCAAAATTGGTAGATGTTCTTAAAAATATTTGTACTTCGCTTTGGCTAACCAATGTCTGTAGGATAAATTCTTTGCTGGCTTGAATTTTCTCAGTTTAAACTTTGTTGTGAACAATGACCAGCTCTATGCATTTTTGTACGATGACGAAATGTGTAGAGCGGATCAATGAGAATATGCTTAACATGAATCATGAATCATTTCGTGAGTACAATAATATTATTCATCTTTTCTGAATCAATCGTTTTGTAGTCAGATGATGATGAGCTGAAGCGTAAACAACTAATGGAATTAGCAATTATTAATGGAACTTACCGATCCGGAAGTGTTAACCAAACAGCTGCTGCACAAGCTGCAGCTGCAGCTGCAGTCAATAAAAATTCGCTGGCTGCTTTACAAGCCCGTCTGATGACACCGCTACCTCTTGCTGCTACACAGGTGATTTCATGAAAATATGTTACATGCGCAACTTTAAATAAATACGGTTCGAGCTTTTTTCAGAATTCTTACTATCATCAGCTAATTATCATCGGATCGCTTTTAGGCTCATGCGTGATCTTTTTTAGCCGAATAATCTCCGGTCACCTGGGTTGACAGGAGCACCAATTATTCTGTCTCCTTCACGTGGTGCTGCACCTACCGCTGCAACCGCAGCGGCTGCAGCACTCGCAGCACAGCTGCAAGCGGTAGCAACTCAGCAACAAAATGTTGCAGCTGCATTCACTCAACAAGGACCAGTAGCTGCGTTGCCAGCACAATTATTGCAGAATCCGGCATTGGCGCAAAATGAATATGGACAGCTGTACCTCAGGTGAGATATCTACCAGTTACATGATAAGATCTGTTGAAGCCATTTATTACCTCCAGTGCCAGGAAAGATGATATGTTTATAGACTTTTCGTGTGTTGGTCCATTGTGATCGTACACAATCTGTAAACATTGATCGAAATAGCCTAGTAATTTTTTATTTCGTCATTTTCAGTTCATTATCATACGATCCGTCGGGTGCAGCAGGTTATGGGGCACCAGTAAGCAGCACTGCCGCTACTCTTCAGGCTCAGGCTCAGGCTCAGGCTCACCAACAACAGCAGTATGCAGCTGCAGCTGCGGCTGCCATGCTTGGTGCCAATGCATATATCGGCGATTACACATCAGTCGATATATCGCATGCCGGTCAGTAATTGCTTTTTAAATACTGAGAAATCAGAAAATGGGGTTTGATGTCCTGAATGTCCGCCAATGGTAATTGTCAAGTGATGAAAAGGGATAGTTGTTTGATCAGAATTTAAAATTTAAGCTTGAAATCTATTTAAAGTTATTGAAAAATTTACATAAACGAAGGGAAAAGTATTGATTTACTTTTAGAATCGCGGTGTAGTTTACAAGTCTGGCAAGTTAGTTGGAGTATTTTGATGACAGTGTTTCACATAAGTTCATTTTTTCTACAAATTTTCTTTCAATTGTATTTCAGAAAACTTGATCTTTCTCATCTCTTATATTTTATCCTTCTTGGATTTTTCCTTTGTTGTTTCATTCTCAATAAAAGATCTCCATTCCTATGCGACATCTCTTGTTTTTTTCTGAAATCTTTGTTGTAGTTTCGAAATCTAATGTTGTTTTTTTATTTCTTTTGAACATATTATTTGTACTTGTGGGTGAAAAGTGTCCACGGATGAACGTACTTGGATTTCATAGTCGTTCAAATTTAAGATTCTTGAAGTATGATATCGAATGGATAGGTCCTATTAGGATATATGGCTATACAAAACTTTTAGGGTATTTCCTGTAGGTACAGTTATGGCAATATTTCTTAAATATTAACCCATTTTTTTTTTATTTCACGGGTTTTTCGTTGTACTGAGAAAGTATCTTACAGTAGAGAAATTATTAACAAATTAAGCATACAGAGGATAAATATGTACCAAATTTTTAAATTACTTTTCATTCTAGCGTTTGATCTCACTGGTGCTGACTTACTCACTTCTTTATTTTCTTTTTCTTTTTTTGTTTACTTATTATTCACTTATACGAGTTATCGGTTTACTGGCTTCACTTTTTCACTTAATGGTAACACTCAAATCCACTTTATAGCATTGTTTTCGTCTTATCTCTAGCAAGAAATAATCTTTTCAAAAATGGGAAGAAAGAAAGAGGAAAATAATGATTTTATATGCAAACATAATTTATGATGGTATATTTCAGCAAATGAAGTGGATTTTTAGTTAAATGTTATTAGTACCAGTAACTTATTGATAACAGGTAATAACATAAAGCAAGAGAAAGCTCGCACACGTGACATTTGAAAGTCAGACTCGTATTTCAGTGTTTTAGTAGTTTTAGATGTTATGTTATAAACCATCGAAAAAATTTGGTAGTCACCCGCGCTCTCATCCATTGTTTTTACCAAATATTGTTTTTGTTTAATCAAAAGGATCTAACATAACGGACGTAGGGGTCAGCTTCTAACTTTCTATTCAATACCATTTAACCAAAATTAACCGGAAAGAAATTTGCAGAAGTATTGTTTATAGGTGCAATGCTGTGTAATCAACGACGTGTACTTGGTCAATCCAGGGACCACCCATATGGTAGTGGAAAATCAACTACATAACACTTCTCACTCCAAACAAAACTCACTTCTTTGTCACAGATTATACAAAACAAAATACCAACCAATGCGGTTTGTTTTCAACTCTCTGTCATCTGAAGTAACACTAGAAGAAAGAAAAATTGGCAAAATGTCACCTGAAATAGTAGGCTTGAGTACAATAGTGGGCTTGCACGTGATAAAATTTGCATTTACATTTCACTGTTACGTATACCTTGCCGACAGATGCTGTTTTAACTTATACGAGCACATCTAGGTCATTCTCAATGTTCGATTATTAAAGATAAAGTATTTTATATTATTTATTTCGTATTCAAATATCATTCCGAAACATCTTTAAAATTAGTGAGAAGAAATTACATAAAGAAAATCGTTTAACCAGCTTCATTTAATTTGAAATTCTAACTTTTCAATTCATTCTCTTTTAATTTGAAAATTTCAAAGTCAGATTTCGTAGGCTATTCATCAAATCCTAGATGTGCTAGTATGTAGCAGTATACTTACGACGCAAGTAGGCAGCATTGTCGCAGCTGCATCTTATGCATCTATAATAAAATTGTTACCATAAATTACAACAACTAACAACCTCATATCCCTTACAGGATCGTTGTTCGGATCAGGTATTTTTATGGATTATATGCTTAAACATTATTTCAATCTTCTACTACTACTGCTTTTACTGCTACCGTTACCGTTGTTAGTATTGATTTGTCGTGTAGCGCTTTCATTAAGTGCCTTAACTTTATTATTTTTGTCAGCATAATTCATTTTTCTTTTTTTTTTTTAATCTTTTCATCAGCTGGGTTTTTTGATTGTTCAGTTTTTTTGTTTTTAGATTCTTGATTATAAATTTAAACCTTTACTAAAATTTGATCCTTTGTTCCAATTTAGCTCACATTTTTTCAGTTTGCTAAGTTTTCATTAATGTGATTTAATCCAAATTGTATATTTCCATTAATCTAATTAGCCATTCAAAAAATTGCTTTTTTTATAAAGAATCATGACATTATAAAAAATCAATTTCCGGACTTTGCTTCCATCATGGATTTGGTGGTTCTATAATATTGAATTTAATCAAAAACATTAAAGGCAATTTGTATTTATGAGTATTTCCACCTAATTACTTTAATCAGGTTTTCAAATTTCTTCTTTCCTGGTGGGACTGATTTTGTTAAAAGTAAAGAGGAAAAATCCGGAAGCTCGTAATTCCGTCTTATGGTGTTCATAATGTATTATTGTCATCGTAACAGTCACCAATTCAAATTCATCTTTAAACTCAGCTTCAAATCCATGTCCTGTAAGATCTGGTGGTATCAATTGATTTGTTATTTTTCATTTCCACCCAATTGCTTTTATCAGGCTTCACCGCTGACAAAATGCATTTCAGATCTAATTTTAATTATTAATAATGTAAAAGAAAAATAAAAAAAGGTTGTCAGAAATAAATAATATTTTCTAGTATTCATTTCTTGTTGCGTTCCTCCATTCACGCTTATGTAAGTTGCAGAAGCTTGAAAAAGTTTGGAAGTAATTACTCATTTGCTCAATGATCCACATTAATATCGTGGTTGTATCAGGCTATGTATAAATTAACTTACTCAAATTTCTTAATTTCTCTGTTTCAACTATTCTTTAGACCATAAGTTCTATAGTGTAGTTTGACAATTTCTTCCAGAATGGTCTGTTTCTTGTTTTTTCGTCCGCACCACTGCTAGCATTTCGATCATGATATCATTTCATTTTAGAAATGAAAAGCTTAGAACTCTAGGACTAATTATATCATGCTATAAAAATTTATTAAAAAAATTATGTTCATATGGAAAAATTCCAATTCAAATAGAATTAGCTTTTTCAAGCTTTTTTTGATTTTACAGAATATCTGATTAAATTGCAGCAATACTACACTTTATATTTTTTTCTTTTGTTTGCTAAATGTGTATGTATTGTGGAAATTGGTGCCCAAAATTTGTTTTTCTTGCACTTTTTGCTCGTTTATTCCTCTCTTTCTCCTATCGACATTGTTCTGTTTTTTTTTTTAATCTCTATTCAAAAATGCCTTGAAATTTAGTGCCGAAGTGCCTGCAGATTCTATAACTCAATCCCTTGAACGGAAAGATTTTTGGTTTCTCCTATTTAATGTTTTAACAGTACAGTACGCATGCATCTTCCTTCAAAAAGTCATTTTTATGTGAATTTTCTCAGTAAATGAATGGATATTTTAGTAACTAACTTGACAATGATCAAAAATTTTTAAAAATTTTTATAGCGTGAAAAGATTCATTGAAACTTCTACTCTTCCCTTTCATGAATTATTCAAAAAGTGCTAAATTTTATTTAACATATGCTGTCTGTGCTTGTTTTCATTTCTAATCTTTTCAATTACCATTTATATTTATAAATTCTTATGCTTGTGCTTTGATTGCTTATTAAATCTTATTATCATAATTATTTAATCGTTATTGCCATGATTGCACACCTTGATCGCTGTACGCGAGGAACCTCTTTGGTATTTTTTATCTGTTTTTTTTTTTACTTTTTGTGCGTATGTTTTCTCTTCCTCGCTGTGCCTTTTAAGTAATCCACTCTTTGTATTTGAAAAATTTCCATTTGTTCAATTGTTTTATACATTACAAATTTGCCTTGATCAATGAATTTTACTTAATTTTGTATTAAATTTTAATCCTTTTTAACAAAAATAATAAAAAATTGTGACAGAAAAATTTTCTCGCAACATTTGAGGAATACACCTGTCTGAATCTTGCCCACAAAAAATGCTATGTCTAATGATCATTTGCCTAAACATAACTATTTCAGCAAATTTTAATTCTGCCCATAAAGATGATATTTTTTCACATATTGAAATGTTAGAAAAGAAAACTTCAGTTTAATTAAACTATTATTTTAGAAATCACTGACGAATGAAAACTATTTCTCACCTAACTCACTTCTTATTTCTTTATCATGGATATTTTCCTCTCCTTAATAGAACACATTGCATCAATAGTTCATAATTCTTGTTGACAGTCTTATTATCAAGTTGGTAAACTGTTCAAATTGCTTTCAGTAATTAGTCAAACTAAAAAAACTTTTCTACAGTTCAAAAATCATAGGTGTTCCATGCAGCATCGTGATGAAACACTGGATATTATATGTGAAATCGTTATTTGAGCAGAAAAAAAAGGGTTAGAATTTATTGACAATTTTAAAACTGAACTTTAAAAATTACTTACATCTCTACTGGAATATTCACATAACAATGGATCAGAAGGTAAAACAATTTTTTTGCATTTCAAAACTTTCACCATGGTAAAGATACAGAAGTTAGATAAAAATGAAATCTTAAGAGAACATGAAATTATGCACAAATTTAATTTACTTTTAAAATTTTAACCGGAAATCAAATTTTGCATAATTAGAAAGAACTTGTTGCATTCACCTACACAAAGTTCAATATTGGACCGTGTTGGATGAAATGAAATGTATCAAATTTCGTGTTCTCTTAAGATTTCATTTTTATTTTATCTAACTTCTCTATCTTTCTAATTTTTTTAATTAAGCATCAAATTCTAAATGTTTCACAGCAAAAATCAACACAAATAGAAAGATACTAATGGCAAATAATAAAAATAATTGAATAGCAAAATAGCTTTATGATTTCCATAGCTAAAGTTTTTTTTTTTTCGAATCGCACAACAGTCTCATCTATATCATCTAATTGTTGTTTCCGGAAGGACTCTGAATTGGTAATAAACGAATTTATAATTTCATTTTAAAGATGGGAATATTTATGGAAAAAAAAGATTGTCTTTAGCACTTACATTTACGACAAATATGAGCTTAAAAGTGTCCATAATCGAAAAGGAAAAACTCAACACCGTTAAGTACAGCTCGTTCCCACGCGATCTTCAAGCAGTGTAATTCGATGAAGATAAAGGATATGCAGCAATTGGACAAATTCATTGATCAGCTTAATATTAAAATGTTCAAATAATTAAGGTATTTCTATATTAAAATTTATGTTACAGAAATTTTTGATCTCAAATATTCTCACTCAAAGTTATGCCGGAAACCGCGAAATTTTATGATATAAAATTACTCACTTTGAATAGAGATTTTGTATAACTATCGCGAATTTCGATTCGCGAAACTTCAACCATACAAACAAAT